GGGAACTTCCGAAAGCCCCCAATGGCGGCGCCGACCACGACGACCCCATCCGTTTCCCTCTCCGACGACGGCGGCGGCGGCGCCAACCCACACATTCGACGATGTGCGTTCGTCGATCCGTGCCCGGGATGCCCCGACCACTTCTCAAAGGGACAGCTTTGGGGGAGAATGAGGAGGAGGAGGCGGAGGAAAAGGAGCAGGAGGAGGAGGAGGAGGGGGAGGGGGGGTTGTCTGGATGGAACACGACCGCCTGTAAGAATTGGGAGAGCATGATCACAGACCATGGCATTTGTTATGTCACCAGGGAGGAGCCCCACGGACACGGTCTGGCGCCAGACTGTTTGGGGCGACCTGGCAGTAGGGCGCCGAGAGCATGTGCTCACTCTCTTGGCGGACCTGAAGCGGTGCTACGAGCACGTTGTGCACGCCAAGCTGCTGGAGTCTGCCACAGAGTGGGGCTTCACTCTCCACGTGCTGCGCTTCTCCCTCCACACCTACTCCTGGGACAGGCTTCTCAGTGTCGAAGGGACGACCGCGGACGCGCTCACCCCAGAGAGAGGGGTCGTAGCAGGCAGCAGCACGGCGACGTGCGAGAATAAGTGTTATGTTTTACCTACGGTTGATGAGTATGGTGGAAAGAATTACACTCCTGCTCGAGCGGTACATGTAGATGATCTCAGCCTGAACGAACGAAGCGAATACATAGATGCTGCTGTCTGTAACATGTGCGTTGCCCTGGCCTTCTTAGTGGATTGCCTCTCGAAGCTGTTCAATTTAGTTTAACGTCACGGCAACGTGCCCAGAGCTGGTCAAGAAGGCCAAGCTTGAATTGGGGCGGTATGCTGGGACGTATGACGAGTCGATTGTGAACCTAGGTTGCAGCTTCGCTCCAGGCAAGGATCTCATAATACGTAGAAATAAAAGGAAGGGAAAGCCCAACGGGCCAGAGGCGTGCTAAGATCTCCGGTAACTGCTCTACAATGTTTCTACTTCGCGCGCGCGGGGCGGCCCCTGGGGGTCCCCAGACGAAAAGTACCCCGACCAGGTCCCGGCCGGTCCCCGGCAAGGTCCCCGGCAAGGTCCCCGGCAAGGTCCCCGCAAGGTCGGGCCAGAGATGCCGGAGCCCTGTTACAGGGCCCCAGGACGGGCCAAGAGGCCCCCAAGAAGCCTCCAAGACGGTCCAAGAGGGCCCCGAGACGGCCAAAGATCGCCCGAAGACGCCCAACAGGGCCCCAAGACAGCCCAAGAGGCCTCCAAGACGCCCCAAGGGCCTTCCAAGAGGCCTCCGAAGAGGGCCCCAAGAGGCCAAAATCGTTGATTTTCATTGTTTTTTTCGCTGTTTTTTGCGTTCTGGCTTTTTCGGCTTCCGGACGCTCCAAGACGGCCCAAGAGGCCCCCAAGACCGCTCCAAGACGGCCCATGAGGCTCCCAAGACGGCCCCGGAACGGCCCAGGAGGGCCCCCAAGACGGCCCAAGTGCCGCCCAAGACGGACCAAGAGGCCCCAAGACGGGCCCAAGAGGGGCTCAAGAGGGGAACCGAGAACTGAAAAATCGAGCCCTCCGCCCCAGAAGGCGCCCAGGAGGCCCCAAAAAGGCCCCAAGAGGCCCCCAAGAGGCCCCCAAGACGCCCCAAGAGGCCCAAAAGAGGCCCAAAAGAGGCCCCAAGAGGCCCCAAAACGGCCCCCAAGAGGCCCCAAAACTCGGCTAGCCCACAACTGTGCGACAATATGGGCCGGCGGAATGAGCGAAGCGATTAAATAAAAGGAAGGGAAAGGAGAGATGGGCGAGGGGAAGGAGGGGGCTGGGTCAGATCAGGTCGCTGAGAAACCCAAGCCGGGCTCGAGCTAAAATCTGGTTCTGTGGTGTCAAGTCTGCTACTACCTATGGGGAAGGAGGTGGTGGGATGGACGCCGAAGGAGATCCTAAAGCTAAGGAGCCAGGCTGCATGTTCTCTTGGATTGACGAGCTGTGGAGCAGACTTGAGTTTGGCCCTGGCCTTGGAGCCCTCCGAGAACCCGGTCAAGCACGCGGCAGCCACGACACGTAGGTTCGCCAAGGAAGTTTGGCAAGCCTGTACCCCAGGACGTCGCCAGGGTGATGGGCTCTCTGTGGGCGATCTGTCGAAAGTGGCCTCCGTGGTCCACAGGCACCTGGAGGCGCACAAGAAGCCTCCCTGGGGAAAGATGTCGCGGGGCCCGATCGGGGACATGCTGTGCTGGATTGAGAGGGCCAAGTGGGAGATCAGGGGGTCCTTGTGCTTTCCACATGCGCAACGGGGACCCGCTCTTGCTGACAGACGCGCCGTTCACACAGGTCGAGAAGCATCTAGTCAGAGGTCTCACACTCGAATATAGATACATCAGAGTATGAGAAAGTATTTGAAGGACTCCGGGCACCAGAGGGACCTGGCTATCCTGGAGAGGGGGCTCTGGATAGAGCATGTCAAAGCCTTTTGCTCGGAAAAATCCTCTCCCCATCAGGCAAACTGTTAAGGAGATTG